CATAATTCCTCTTGATCCTTTGGAGGCATGTTTTTAGGATATTTTAGAGAGGATCTCTAGCCACTGTAGGCCTGAGGTGGCCATTCTCTTAAGGCAGGGCCTTTCTAGTGTCTCTATTTCTCATTGGGGTACTGGGTGAGGGCTCTCCAGTCAAGCTAGTAAAAATATCCATGTCTCTCAGAACCATACAAGCATCCATTCAGCTGACAGAAGCCCAGGATTGATCTCTGCTTGACCTCACAGTGTCTCCCTCTAAAGCCTGCACAAGCTAGTATTTAGCCAAAGACCTAAAACAACACTTTGGTAACTTCTGGAAACCCATGTCTACAAAGCTCCTTTTTCTCCAGTACTATGATTGCTACACTCAGTCCTGAAATCTGGTCCCCCCCACCCTCAGCTCAGCTATATTACTATTCTCTGCCTAGGCTCCATTTCCCCATGAGAGGGTTCTGAAATTGACCCAGGCAGAAAAGGGTACCAGCCAGGTTCACTGCATGCTTCCCTTCTTTCAGCCAACACACTCCATCCAGTGGAGCATAGGATATCTGGGAGCCTTGATAAAGGTATGACACTAGTTTTGGTCTCATGGCCAAAGAACAATAAAAAAAAAAGCTAGAATTGACAGATGAATATAAAAACAATTTTGTTTGCTTAAATACATAACCTGTCTTTCCTTGTCTTTTATGATCTTGAAACTTTTAAAAAACATTGTTTTATTGATTTCAGAGAGGAAGGGAGAGATAAAAACATCGATGAGAACACATTGATCAACTGCCTCCTGCATGCCTTCTATTTGGGTCTGAGCCTGAATCCTGAGCATGTGCCCTGACCAGAATTGAACCAGTGATCTCCTGCTGCATGGGACAACACTGGCCGAGCCAATTTTGACACTTTTGAAGAATATTGGTTGAATACTTTGTAGAATGTCCCTCAAGTGGGGGAAGAATACTATGAAAGTGAAGTGTCCTTCTCATTGTATCACATCATCCTATATAATAAAGAGGTAATATGCAAATTAACCCTCACACCCTCACAAAGATGGCTGCCTATGACTAGGCTAGCAGGAGGGTTAGTGAGGGATGACCAAACGACTGAACAAGCAGGCTGTGTGGGGCAACCAGGGTGGCGAGGAGGGGGCGGCTGTGAGGGGCGACTGGGCCAGCATGGGGGGAAGTTAGAGGCAACCAGGCCAGCAGAGGGGGGCAGTTGGGGGCAACCAGGCCAGTGGGGGGGGGCAGTAAGGGGTGACCAGGTCGGTAGGCAGGTGAATGGTTAGGAGCCAGCAGTCCAGGATTGTGAGAGGGATGTCTAACTGCCAGTCAGTTGGACATCCCCCAAGGGGTCCTGGATTGGAGAGAGTGCAGGCTGGGTTGAGGGGAACCCCCCATGCACAAATTTTGTGCACCAGGACTCTAGTAGGGTACATAAGCGCCATGTCTTATTACTGGTGATGTTAACATTCATCTCTTGGTTAAGGTTGTCTGCTAGATTTCTCCATTGCGAAGTTACGATTGCCCTTTCCATACTCTTGTTATTAGAAGTCACTGAATACAGCTCATATTCAAGAGGATAAGAGGGGCCTAGCCAGCATGGCTCACTGGTTGATTCCCGGTCAGGGCACATGCCCAGGTTGCGGGCTCAATCCCCAGCGAGGGATGTGCAGGAGGCAGCCAATTGATGATTCTCTCTCATCATTGATGTGTCTATCTCCCTCTACTTTCCTCTCTGAAATCAATAAAAATATTATTTAAAAAAATAAAAAAAGGGAATGGGAATTAAGCCCATCTCTTAGAGGGAAGAGAATCAGACACAGGCATACCTTGTTTTATTGTACTTCACTTTATTGCATTTTTAAAAAATATATATTTTATTGACTTTTTAGAGAGGAAGAGAGAGGGATAGAGTTAGAAACATTGATGAGAGAGAAACATCAATCAGCTGCCTCTTGCATACCCCCTACTGGGGATGTGCCCACAACCAAGGTACATGCCCTTGACCGGAATCAAACCTGGGACCCTTCAGTCCGCAGGCCAACACTCTATCCACTGAGCCAAACCGGTTAGGGCTTTATTGCATTTTTTACAAATTCAAAACAAGACCCTCCCCCAGCAAAAAGATTATGACTCTCTTTATTGCAATGGTCTGGAACCAACCCTGTAATATCTCTGAGGTATGCCTGTATTTAATAAATATTTTAGAGGTACTACTTTGAGGCTGTGCAACTAGAGTGTTCACCTTAACGTTTTATCTACAAATTTTAGCATTTAGTGGATTAGATCTGCAACAATTATTACTGTGGTATTCTAATGGCAATTTTCTATTTCCCTCATTCCTTCTATATTTATCATTTGGAAGTCTTACATAAGGAAGAGTTGTCTCATCGCCAACATTTATTTATTCAATCATATCACTTATTTATACACCATGGAATCATGGATATTTCTTTTCTTTTTTTTTTGGACTATAATCCAATACTATCATTTTTTTGTTGTTGCTCAAATTGTTCCAGCTTTGGCCATTGGGAGCTCTTTCAAGTTGGCTCCTGGAGCCTTATGACTGACATGCTCCCATCTTTTTTTGTGTGTGTACTTTCTTACTTTCTGGCACTACACAATGTTCCAGGCTCATCGTGTATTTTCCTACCCTGGCCTTAAAATCAGCCATTTCTCCAAGAAGTCCTGATTTCTTTTATTAGATAATAACATTTAGAAACGAAGAGCTGGTTACTTAGATGTTCTCACTGCTTCTGCATTCACATGATGTCTAGGCTGTCTCAGTGGACAGACTAGAAACTGTCAGAGACCAAGAAGGTATGATAGCTAAATGCAATATGGTATTTGTGGTAGGGAGCTTCTAAGATGACCTCTCACTGACCCTTGCCTAATATTCATAGTCTTCTGTAATCTCCTCCCCTTGAGTAACTTGATTCTAACCAACAGAATGCTTGAGCATCAAGGGGATGTCACTTCCATGATTAGATTACATGAGAATGTGCCTTGTTTTGCTCACTCTCTCACTTGCTGGCTTTGATGAAGCAAGTTACCATGCTGAAAGCGGGCTCCTGGAAGGAAAGGCACACGTGGCAATGACTGAGGGCACCTCAGGCTGATAGCCAGCAAGGTACTGAGGCTCCCAGTTCAACAGGCTGGAGATAACTGAATCTTGCCATAAACCATGGTAGCTCAGAAAAGATCCTTCCCCAGTCCCACGTTCAGATGAGTCCTTAATCCTACCCAACATCTTCCTTGATTGCACCTTGGTCAGAGCCACTTGAGTAAAGAATAGAGCTAAGCCAGCCTAGATTCCTGACCCATAAAAAAACTGGGAGTTAATGAATGCATGTTTTTTAGCCACTAATATTGTGATAATCTATTCCACAGAAAGAGATCACAAATAGAGTATGCTAACTTGGATCCTAGAACAGAAAAAATACATTTGTGGGAAAAAAAACAGTAACATCTAAATAAAATCTAAAATTGAGTTTCTAGTACTGGGCCAATGTTATTTCCTTCGCATCAATAAATGTGCCACGTTTATGTAAGATGTTACCATTAGGGGGAGCTGAATGAGGGATATGGAAACTCCCTCTAATGTCTTTGCAACTCTTCTATAAATCTAAAATTATTTAAGAATACAAACTTTAAAAATAACACTTCTGGGTATTATGTTATTTTTATAAAGCAAATATACCCCTGGCCAGTGTGGCTCAGTTGGTTGGGGATCGTCCCATGCACTGGGAGGCTGCTGGTTCGATTCCAGGTCAAGGGCACATGCCCTGGTTATGGGCTCAATCCCCAGTAGGGGGTGTGCAGGAGGCAGCCGGTAAATATTGTGCTCTAACATCAATGTTTCTCTCTCTCTTTCGATGTCCATTCATCTCTCTAAAAATCAATAAACTTCTTTAAAAACATAAAATCAATAGAGCAAATTTGAGGAGAAAAAATAAAGAAAAGGTATCAGGGAGTCACCAGTCATTAGGAGTCACAGTGTGATGATAGGCTAGAAAATAGTATGCTCAGTCTTCTGGGGAAGACAAAGGATCAATTGGGTTCTGGCGATCAGGGGTTCTCCGCTGGGGGAGACACAGGACCGGATGCCCATCCTGGGAGTCAGAGTCTAGTTGAGGAATTCCAGGAATATTTTTTCCTAGCCTTCAAGATGTGTCTGTTCACCTCTATTTATAAAATACCCCCAAAATGTCAACATCTGTTCCAAAATGGAATTTCTTGCTTATTCCTGATTTCTGTGGCTTGTCTTTGCCCTTTACCCCATCTGGAATGCCTGTGCTCTCTGCCATCAGATATCTTCACACTTCCTTATCAGTTTCAAAAGTGAACTTGCAATAAAATCTTTGCCCCCCTCTGCCTTCAGTGACATTTTTCAAACCAGAGCCCTCACTCACCTAACTTTACCGTTTTCTTCATCCATTTACCCAGTGGCATATCTTCAGATAGTTACTTAAATTCTATTTGTCAGTGTTTTTAAACATGAATGGAAGTCGGGGGTTAGGTAGAAGAAAAAAGAAATAAGAATCATCACTTTTATGCCTAGTCGGTGTGGCTCAGTGGTTGAAGCGATGACCTATGAACCAGGAGGTCATGGTTTGATTCCCAGTCAGGGCACATACCTGGGTTGTGGGCTTGATCCTCAGTGTGGGATGTGCAGGAGGCAGCCAATCAATGATTCTCATCACTGATGTTTCTCTCTCTCCCTCTCCCTTCCTTTCTGAAATCAATAAAAATATATTTAAAAAAAGAATTTTCTTGAATATTCCTTAGAATAAATTAGGTGAAGCTCTTGACAACAGTAAGGAGTGTCTGACAGGTAGCTATGGATTGATTGCTTTTGTTTGCAGGTTGTTTTCCTCCAGCCCTTATTTGTAGTTAAATTCCTTCATCTATTTCTCTTAAATCTACTAGTATTTCTTCCAAGAACCTTCCTTCCTCCTGGCCTGCATGAACCATGCTCACTGCACAGTCAAAAGCAAGGACAGGAGACTCTTTGCCAAAGTTAAAAGCGCATCAAACACGCCTAGCATTTATTAATCACAAACCTACAGACCCCTCAGTACACCATCCTTGGGACTTGGCCCCAATAATCCAAAGCTGACAATCTTGAGTATACATAACAGGAGGGGTGAGGATGGGTGGGGAGTGTCTGTTGATAATTCTGAAATGGGGAAGAGTCCTCCAAATGGAGAACTGGGTGGAGGCCAGAGGTTGGGTTGATCAACTTCTGAGTAGGGGGGTCAGTAAAAAATCAGATAAACAAAAGAAGGGTACAGGATTTAACAGCTCTTCCCCCAAGCCTCCACCTAGGTGGGAGAGGCTTCTTTTTCCAGGGCTGGGGAAATCCCCAGAAGGACGCCTTTCTTTGTCCTATTCCTCTATGCGGTGAGAAAAGTAATGGGTGCTGGTTCTGGGAACTTGGACTCAGTATCCCCTATTCCCCATCAGCTCCCCAAACTGCCCTTCAAGGAAGGAGGCAGGACTCTGCCCAAGGGTAGGGGTCTAACTCTAACTTCTGATCTCAGTCTGGAATGTCAACCCGTAAGATTTCAAAATCTACCCCCTTTCCCAAGGGCAAGGTTAGCTCAGAGCTGTTCTTTCAGGTTAAGGCAGGGAGCCTAAGTACCCTCTTCCCTGCAGTGGAATGCTTGGCTGGGACGCTGCTGAGGAATAAGGGCTGTGATCTCCACATGGTGGCCTGATCTTGCAGACTCTTCCTTGCCTGAAATACTGGTGCTGGGCTGTTCCTATAGGGAAGAGGCATAGACTGGCTCGTCCACTGCTAGGACACGACCCGAGTTCCCAGGTAAAGGGTCCGGCTCTCATTCTGTTCCTGGCCTGGGCAGGGCAGGGATCATGGTGAAGGGAAGAGGGCTTAAACCCCAGGGTGGGAATGCCATCATTTGGACTCCTCTTCCTTGCCAGGATGGAGTAGACTGGCCACCATAAGAGAGGGGATGGAACAGTATCCTGACACACCCTTATCCCAGACCTGGCTAGGACAGTCCCAGAGGACAGGGACAGACCTCATCCTGTCTCCTTCCCTCACCTGGGTGAGGGTGGGTCCCACTGGGCAAAGGAGATGCTGTGATCTCCAGGGTGCAGGCCCTGATGTCATGGTGCTGGCTGGGCCTGTGGGAAAGGGGTGGTGTGTGCCGGACTCCCCCTCCTTGCCTGGTTATAGGGGTGGGGCCTCATCTCTTCCCCAAGAACACCTGGGCAGGGCAGTCTCATGGGAGGGGAAGGGAAAGGCAGGGCCTCATCTCGACTTGTCCTCCTTTTCTGGGTGGGGAAATCCCAGAGGAGGGGTGAGGCCTGATCAGGACTCCTCCTCCATGCTGAAGCTGCTTCGGCGACTGCTGGCCTTGGAGACAGTGGGGGACACGGAAGAGAGCAGGGGGTCAGAGGCAGCCCGCAATGGGGACAGGGCGCCCCCCGACAGTCCCCCCAACACCCCTTCCTCCTCCTCCATCAGAATGTCCGTTAGCCCCAGGTGGAAGGGGTCTCCCAGATCCCCCAGGTGGTCGCTGGGAAAGTGCAGGTCCAGAAGGGTATCTGAGGGTGGCACTGGGGGCTGCTGATGGGGAGCACCCTGGGCAGGGGCCCCCCCTGCATGAAACGTTGCTACGCCTGGCCTGCCCTCCTCCTCAACATCCAGCTGCTCTGGCTTGAGGCTGTCAGAGGCCGAAGTCGTGGCCAGGGAGATGAGCCCTGGGGTGGGAGGGACCGGCAGACCATGGATCTGGGCCTGCAGTTCGAGCTCCTGCAAAAAGTAGGGGGTAGGTGTGGAATAAGATGGAGTTCAGAGCCCCTCAGAGGCAGAGGATGTCACAGTTAGGAGGGCAGGTTGTCTGGGTTCACATTCAGCCTCTACCACTCACTAGTTACGTAACTTTAGGCAAGTTGCCTCAAATTTGAGCTTCAGCGTTCCAATCTGTAAAATGGGTACAACAATGGTCCCTGCCTCGTTGGGCTCTTGTGACGATTAACTTACTAAATGGAGATAAGGCTCTTGTCACAGTGCATGGCACGAGATAAATGCAATGCACACTAGCCAATATTCATCACTATTCTTTTTAATGGTATGCTTACTACTTATCACCACCGCCATCATCATCATCATAATGGAAGTCAGGAAGCCCTGGGATCTCCCAAGTATTCCAGGAGGGGAAATTGTGGCCTGTTCTTCCTCTGCCTCTGCTTGCAGGAAGCCCCTCACCCCTGCCACCACCTCCTCCCCTTCCAGACCTGAATTCGGAGCTGCAGGCTGCGGTTGGCTTGCTCCAGGGATCGCTGCCGGCTCTCTAGGTCTTTGGAGCGCTGCTGCTCCTTCTGCAACTTGCGGATATAATCCACAGAGGCTTTGAGGATGGTGCCCTTGTTCCAGCGCATCTCCCTGTGAGGTCGAGGGGAAGGAAAGAAGGGAGTGCTGTGCATGGAGTCTCTTGGATTGTTGCACCAGGTAGATGGGGCACCCCACCCCATGCCTAGAACTTGAGGTGGGGGTATATCAAGGGTATGGGATGCTCATCCCCTGCCTGGAACCTTCCAAGCCCTGAAGCCCTCTCTGACCTGTCCCTTGACCGCTCCTCTCTCCTCTGACTCGGATTCATCTCACTACAGCTGCTCTGGCTTCTCAGCGCTCCCAGGACATGGACATCCATTCTCACCGCAGGGCTATCAGCCCAGCTCTGCTCTCCTCCTTGACCACTCTTGCCCCAGGCACCTCCTGCCTCTCTTCCTTTGGCTGTCCCCTCGGTCCTCACCCCAAATTGGAACCCTACCCCCAAACCCCCCATCTTCCTCCCATTCTTTATTCTTCTCCACAACATTCATCAGAATTGCATGAACTTTACTTATTTATCTTGTTTGCTGTCTGGCTGCCCCCACTAAATGATCAGTTCCCTGAGGTCAGGGATTTTTGTCTGTTTCATTCTCTCTGGCCTCAGGACCTAGCTCGGTACCTGGTCCAAAGCAGAAGCTCAATGTTTTCTGAATAAATACAGGAAACTAAGCGCCTCTGTCTTGCAGGGACCTGATGAGGCATATGGACCCTAAGGTCATGAACCTCAGATTGTAGGTGGAGACATGGTGAGGGGCTGGCTCAGGGTGAAAAGAGATGAGTGGGAAGGGGCCAGAGGAGCAGAGCTACTGGGTGGTTCCCACCCAGGGTAGGCCCCCCTGGGAATGACTTTAGGAGAGCAGGGTCCCCCGCCCCACCGTCTGCTAGCCTGGGGCTCCCAGCCCAGACTCACGGGTCACTGGACTTGGGGATGAGGGTGCCCAGCTCCTTGATCCTGTCGTTAATGTTGAAGCGCCTGCGACGTTCAACTTTGGAGGAGGGGGAGATAAAAGTGGGAA